CAGGAATCTCAATGAGTTGGTCAGGGTGCGAGGGACACACCAGATGTTCCCCATGTTGTTGACTGGTTCTGCTGTCTACCCTCAGGCTCTCTGTGTCTCTCACACACACGTACTCTTTCCTTTGGTTTGCTTGCTTTCGTTTGCTTTGTGGCCTTAATATGATCACAGTTCCTGGAAAAACAAATGGAACAGGAGTTTTTCTATACAGTGAAGTAAGATTTACAATGTAATTTTGTTTTATGAATCTTCTTCTACTTTCAGCTGTTCTCGTTAGGGGTCGCCACAGCAAATCATCTGTTTCCACCTAACTCTATCCTTGGCACCCTCTACTCTTACCCTAATTAACTTCATGTCCTCTTTTAGCACATCCATATATCTCCTCTTTGGTCTTCCTCTTGACCTCTTGCCTGGCAGCTCCATCTCCAACATCCTTCTACCAATATAACCACTATCCCTTCTCTGCACATGTCCAAACCATCTCAATCTGGCCTCTCTGACCTTGTCCCCAAAACAGCCGACCTGAGCTGTCCCTCTGATGTGCTCATTCCTAATCCTGTCCATCCTGGTCCCTCCTAAAGAGAACCTCAACATCCTCATCTCTGCTACCTCGGGGGCAGACAAGCACTACAAGCCACAGGTCAGGGCCATCACAACAGGAATAGATAAGAATAAAAAAATAGAGCAATAAAAATGAGAATAAACCACATCTGCATTTCAAAAATAGGAAAGGAATGAGAGGAAGAGAGAATTTATAAATATATGCACATCTATACACATTATGGCAGAAGAGCTGCATGAAGGGCATATACAATGAGAGAAAGAAGACATATACAATCAATATATTTGCATGAAGCCATACCGCTGCTCACAGATATCCACTTCCTTTCTTAGCCTAGCTTCCACTACCCTTTCCCATAGCTTCATTGTGTGGCTCATCATCTTTATACCTCTATAGTTGCTACAACTCTGCACATCACCCTTGTTCTTAAAGATCGGCACTAGTACACTTCTCCTCCATTCCTCAGGCATCTTCTCACTCTCTAAAATCCTGTTGAACAAACTAGATAGAACCTCCTTCTTCTTCCCATTAGGGGTCGCCACAGCCAATCCTCTGCTACCACCACTTTGCAGTCACTAATGTCTCTCAGATTGCCTCGTCTACATAGAATGTAGTTTACCTGCGTACTCCTACCTCCACTCTTATATGTAACTGTATGTTCCTCTCTCTTCTGGAAATAGGTGTTAACTACAGCCATTTCCATTCTCTTAACAAAGTCCACCACCATCTGTCCTAGGTTACTT